TCTAAGAGAGGTCACCAGTATATAGTCTCTTTTTGCCAGAGAAGCAGTGACACTCAGTAGAGGACTGTAATTAAATGCCCCATTAAGTAAGACGGTTTTTGCTTCTTTTTATTAACTCTTCCACTCCATGTCAGCGTGGAAGAAGCTAGAACCTGAAAAGAAAGAAAGGGGGAGAAAAAGGAGACCGCTTTCCCTTCCGGCGCTGAGCTCTATACGCTGGCTGCTGAGTGGCCCCACGCAGCCTGCCCACTGAGCCAGAAAAAAAGAAGGCCGTGTGCTTTAAAACATTTATAAATTGGAGTTATGGACTCAATTTGAGCTGTTGTGAAGGAAGACGAAATAGATTTGACATTGCAGAAGGCAAGCACTTATTGGAGAAGAGTGAAAACCAGTACATATCTGTGCCCTGCTGAGTTCAGAATGTTCAATAAGTCAATTCCATGAAAAACCGAAATGAAACTTTTTTGAATGTCATCTCAGAATTAAGAACAGTCTTTAAATTGGAAAAAAAACGTGGCTTTCTTAAAAACTCTAAATAATTACCCTTATTTTTCTCATTTCTTCACGATTTGGTCCACTATGTACCCACGACATAGTATTTTATTTTAATTTATTTAAAATTTATTTATTTATTTATTTACTTACTTACTTACTTATGAGAGAGAGAGAAAGGAAGAGAGAGAGCGAGAGAGAGCACTGATTTGTTGTTCTATCTATCCATGCATTCATTGGTTGCTCCTTGTATGTGCCCTGACTGGAGATCGAACCCACAACCTTGGTGTATAGGGACATGATGTAGTATTTTATTTTATTACTTTATTTTATTTTTTAAAAATATATCTTTATTGATTTCAGAGAGAGGAAAGGAGAGGGAGAGAGAGAGATAGAAACATCGCTGATGAGAGAGTCATTGATTGGCTGCCTCCTGCACGCCCCTGACTGGGGATCGAGCCCGCAACCCGGGCATGTGCCCGACCAGGAATCGAACCCCGATCGCCTGGATCCTAGGTCGATGCTCAACCACTGAGCCACTCCCCGCCGGACAGTATTTTAAAATAATTATCATAATTCATTGGAATTTCTATCAGCCAGGGATTACTAGAACTGATAACTTTAACTTGTGGGAAGAGAAATTCCACATGATTGCTGCAGCAGCCAGGGTCCTTTCCCTCATCTTAGCCTTTAAATCTCTGTGGAGAAGGGATAAGTGGAAAAAGCAAAATTATATGACTAATACTGTAGTCTTTGAATGTAACAGAATGTTATAAAAGATTAATGTAACTTTAAAAGCATCTTTTATGTGGAGAAATATAAAACCACAGGAAAACTATTACAATATGCCAGAAATGGAATTTATAGTCACCCTATTTACTCATCGCCTTAGAAATTCATAGAAATAATTTGTTTTAATGAAGCATATGGTGTTCTGTTTAATGAAAAGCAAATTTTACTAATAGAAAAATAATCTCAGATTAAGAGAACCCCATCTCTTCTCTGGTCTACATTTCCCTTAAATTTGAGGCATTTAAAAAATGTCAGTAGCTTTTAAAAATTACTCCTGTTTGTCCTTATATCATTGAAGAGCATGGTCCCAGACAATGGATCCATTTAACTTATATTTCCAACATCAAAAAATGAAATGAAAATCACTTCATTCACTTCTACCTTGAAAAGAAGTGAATAGAATCCAATTAGCTGCATTGTGATAGGTTAAGAGGCTTGGCTTAGAACCAAAGTGCTCTAGTCTCAACCAGCAGACTTTGGCCATATTTCGTTACTTGATTTTCTCACCTGTTAAGGTTACTGTGCCCACCTTATTTAGTTAGCTGATTTTATGACACATGTTTGAAATCATGTATATATAGTATTTAAGCTAGCATAAGATAGATTCTCAATCTATGTTAGCCTACATGAAAGACAACTGACACTAATAATCAGCAATGATATGACATGTATAACCCTTATTCTCCCATATTATACATAGCACAAAATACTATCTTATAATATATAATATATGAAATTATATTGTATACTATTACAAAACATTATAGTAAAATATTAGAACATAATATACTATAAATATAACATTTCTCAGAACTCCCAAACAGAATCATCATTGTCACCAAAGAGTGATGATTAAAGCTATTTCTGCCTCACAAAAGCAACAACTTGATATAATGCCTGCTGACCTTGTTTTCTAAAAGCCATAAAACCACTCTAGAACTCCAACTATATTTCACTCATTCATTCTTTCAACACTTATTTGTTGAGACCCTGTTTTGTGCCAGTCACTGTATTGGGCACTGAGGGAAGATATTTTAAAGTTACCCTCTGGCTTTGTAAAGTTTTTGGAACAAATCTGTTGTCAGTCAGGGTCCCAGCAGGAAACAGACTGCACTCCCCCAAGAGGGTAAAGCAAAGTTTAATGGAGGTACCATTTACAAAATGTGTGGGCTGGCCTGAGGACAAGCAGGAAGCCCCGATGAAGCACCATAAGGCTAGGAGCAGGGCAAAGAGCTGCCGGCCCTCCATCTGAAGGGCCAAGTGGAGACATTAGTTAATGGAACTCAGGGAAACTTGTCACCTTAGAATAGAGGTGCCTGCAGGGCTGGGACTTAGAGTACTGTAGCCACTGCTACACCATGGCCAGCAGAAAGGGACCACCCTTTCCTCCTGCCCTTCTGCCTTTGTTTCCCATTGGCTGAACACCCCCCGGAGCCAGAGGCCTAGAGAGCCACAGGCACAGTCCCTGGGGACTAGGCTCCCAGGGCAGAGGCAGGATGTGAAGGCAGAGGAGTGGATCTCAAGGGGCGAATGAAGGATATCCAGAAAATAACCTCTCCTTCTCTCTTTTCTTGTTTTACATAACAGATGTTGGGGTTTATTTCTGAATATAGAATAATATATTTTTTAAAATGTAGAACATTTGGAAAATTGCCTTATTGCTTGACATCCTGCTTTTCTTAGCCAGGATGACTCCCAGCTGAAGACCCACGAGTTTATCCAATAAGCTGTCACACCTCCTATAACTCATGGAAAGTCCACTGTTACTATTTTACTCATTTACATAGGTTCTTTAATATTTTTCTATGGCTGTATTGTTGTAGAATTATAATCATTGGGTGTGTGTAATTCTGTATCCTGCATGTAAAACTTAAATTTTTAATCTTGCTTTTTCTTTTTTAACTTAGGAGTATAAACTTTTGTTTTCGGGTTCCACCTTATAGGCACTCAAGATTGTAACTCTGATAAAATAGCTAAATATCTGCTATTTGTCTACTTTTGTTAGGTTTTAAGCAGTCTTTGAGCTAAAGCCTTGAAATTCTGCCTACTCCTGTTAGGACAGTGTTAGAAGAGCCCAGTAATTGTAAACATTCATTGCTGTATGCTGAGGAAATTCTTTTCCTTGACCTATGGAATCCAACCCCTGAAAAGCCTGTAGACTTCTCTTCCTAGAACACTTAAAAGGTGGAGTTTCTCCCTCCCCCCACTCACTTATCTGCTCTCAGTTTTGCTGCCAACTCCTGCATAATATAGTCAAATTATGTGGTAGAGATTCAACCCTGGTTTCCTGGGTGATGGTACAATGCCACTGCTTAGTATTCCTAGTCACATAGCTACCATTTCATTATGCTCTTAATCTATATATATCTTCATGGTTCAGAAAAAGACTTTTCAAATCAGGCATGCATTAAGAGTTTAAATGCACAGTGAGGAGCAGGAGCTTCTTGAGCTCAGCAACAATGCAGGACATCCTCTATACCAAGATCTTGAGAAACCACCATATGGACAAATGCTTTTTGTATTCGATGATTTCTACAGGGTATCTTTTCCAGTTCAATTCTGCAAACTCAGAATTCTTCAGAGTCTCTTGTAGGCTATCATATCCCTGAACTTTAGATTTGGGCCTGTTTTAAGAGGCTGAGTTTTATTTTTTAATATACCTTCATTGATTTCAGAGAGAGGAAGGGAGAGGGAGAGAGAGATAGAAACATCAATGACCAGAGGGTCATTGATCGGCTGCCTCCTGCACGCCTCCTACTGGAGATTGAGCCCGCAACCTGGGCATGTGCTCTGACCAGGAATCGAACCGAGCTCTCCTGGATCATAGGTCAGTGCTCAACCACTGAGCCATGTCAGCTGGGCAATAGCCTGAGTTTTCATAAACCAGTGACGAGTTTTCCTTTGGAGCTTCCACAACAAGGATGCACCCTTACATTTTGGTAATGTTATTGAGGTTGTTTCTGAAATGACTTCCAATGATCTACACAAAACAAATGTCATGAACTGCATTGCAGTGTCTCTACCTCAAAATGCCCAGGTTTGCATGATTTAAACCAGGGAATTCTAGCTCTTTCTATCTACTGGTTGCTAAAATTCTCTGTGATGAATACTTGCCGAAGTACTTATTCATGTGTGAGGTTAAAACTAATAGTAAAATTGAAATTAAGAATCTTTTGATCATGTATTTTTTTGGTATTGGTTTACTTTTCTTTCTTTTTCTTTTTGGACAGTCGTTGCAAAGGGTCATATTTCTTAAGTTCTAAATTTGACATGTGTTAGCTGTTACTTTAACCAAATTATTTTTCTAATCCTCTGTTCTCTCATTAGAAAAAAAGATGAAAATAATATCACAGACTATTAGGGGGATCAAATGAAATATTGTATGGGGTAGCACTTTTTAAGTATAAAGCCCTTTACAGGTACACATTATATCTATGTTCTTAATGATCATTGATTATTTGGGAGCCCAATTATTATAATTTTCTCTTTTCCCAAATAGCTTTGCACTTATTTCTTGGATTTTTTCATTTTGTGAACCTCTTTTCTCACATGTCAGATTGAATTGACTTGGTAAATTGTGATATGTACTTAGGCATATATATTGTATACATTCAAATGTTAATTTGGAGAACACAAATTTACATTTAACTAAGGATAGCAAACTGTACATTTTGTGTGTCTTTTTTTCCTTGTAGGTCTTAAAAAATTGTCAGCAGAGCTACACTGAATAACAGACATCCTAAGAGGGGATATTTTTCATCTCTATAATGAAGAAAAGCAGGAGTGTGATGACAGTGACTGCAGATGATGTAAGTTCCAAAAGTCAGAGATTCCACCCACCTTTTCTCTGCTCAGTTAAGGCGTCACTCCATAATGCTACTCAAAGGACAAGCAAGGCTGTTTAACACCACTAGGTGTTTCTATGACCCAGACACTGCCAGCGCCGGGACCCAGCATTCTGTGAGGTGGACAGCAGGAACGCTGCCCTCGCTGAGGTTTAGAGACGGGCTCAGTTCCAGCTTTATGGTTTTCATTCACAAAACCATCAATCTCTGGTGTATGCCCACATCCTAACTCTTAGAAACTCCTCTTTTCACACTGCCTGCATTATCAGTTCCCTGATGACTTTATTTAAACTTTTACCTACATACAACTAAATTTTGAGAGTCACCTCCTATGTCAGGGATCTTGGACAACTGCTTGTAAGAAGTTTGTGACGCACACATTTTCTAGGCCTTGGCTGTTCAAGTGCAGTCCTCAGAGCAGCGCATGAGCGCGACCTGGGTGTTTATTGGACATGCAGAGTCTCAGCCGCACCTCAGGACTACAAATCAGACTGATTTTGACAAAATCCTAGGTGACTAGGTATGTACATTATGTTTGAGAAGCTTTGCTGCAGGTCATCCGGATAAGTTTGTAAACTCACCGTCTTCAGAGCCTTCAGCCTTGGACAGCTACGATTAAGTGTCTCCTTTGCTTTCCATTTATCAGTCCCCTATTAGTGTATCTTTAATTGTCCAGCCTTTACTCAGTTTATGTTTGTAATTGAGCTAAAAATTATGTGCCACTAACCATTTGCAGAAGGAAGGGAGGGAGGAAAATGAAGTAACTTTCTTTGTTCTCTGAAATAGCTTACCTATTTTGGTTAAGCTCTTCTTTCACAGATGGGGGAGGCGCTGGGAGTTACTTGCACTTGCAAGTTTATGTAAAATGGTGTCTTTTGCATAAAGGCCCAGTCATTCAGGATTTCTCCCAGGGCTTATTCTTTCCCTTTAATCTCACGGCATTGGGCAAAGAGGCAGACTTAACATTAATTAACATTATGGTAACAGGTGTGTGGTATTGTCCTGGTCCTGTATTGTCCTTTTCTGCCAGTGCTTACTACTGTTCAGGTGAGGAACAGGTCATCTCTCCAGATCTTTAGTGGTCAGGTCTCTGCCCTCGGTGCAGCGCTGCTCAGGCAGGTGACAGGTACCAGGTGGTGACTGCTCTCAGCTCACTGCGACTTTGACCTTCCCCTCCACTGCCTGCGCGCTTTACTTCACCGCTCAGTAGGGGATCGGGTTGTTTAAAAAGACTCGGCTCCACTTCTTTCTGCTGTTCCTTGCCTTTGGGCTGTTCACCCCGTGGACTCCTTCGTGGCCCCTTTGCCTCACTCTGCAGCCAGTCCTTTGGCAAGGAAGCTGCGGCTAATCCTCTGCTGCCTTCTGTGTCCCCGTGAGGCTGCGAGAACTTCCAGCCCTGCAAGGCAGGGGGAGGCCTGGCGCTAGGAGGCTCTTCTCCCAAATGCACTCCTTTGCCGTCGCTAGTTCTGCCCTTTATTGTTGAGGGAACTCATTAGTGTTCTGTTCTCATTACCTGCGACAATGTTTCCTTCCTTTATTCCCCCCTTTCCTGCTCCTTGACCCCAAGGGAACTTGCCTTAATTCATATTCCATGTTCTCAGTGACAGACAGTAAAAGCTATGTTTAGACATCCGTGCTCTGCTCAGGATATCTAAAAGGAAACTTCTGAAATTTAGAGATCCTTTTTCTCTTAAAAAACACATATCTTGGGATTATTCTTCAGTACTTTTTGCACACTGCGTGCTTCAATATTCTATTTTCTGGAATAAAACTAAGCAATGTGTTCTGTCTAAAAGATGGACAACCATTCTTTATTTTCCATCGCATCCTTCCAGTACTAATCCTGATCCTCCCTGAGGCCGTGGTTGCCACAGTCAAAAGACGGGAAGGTTGCATACAAGAATTTGCAAAAAAGAAAAGCACATTCGAAGAATATTAACCCCACCAGAGTGGATAATTATTACTGAGATTTGCATTGTCCAACATGGAGCCACACCAGCCACACATGACTCTTAGGCACTAGTCTGAATGGAGATTTGCTGTAAGCATAAAATAGATCTGGGATTTTGAATACGTAGTAGTACAAATAGAAAATAATGTAAAATATTTTATTAATAATTTTTGATATCAATTACTTGATGTAATAATATTTTAGATAGTTTAGGCTAAGTAAAATTTACTGTTAAAAGTAATTTCACTTTTTTCTTAAATGTGGCTGCTAGAAAATTTAAAATTACACATTTGCCTCTCATTTGTGACTTGCACTTTATTTCTAGTAGACAGTTATGACCTAGAATGTTTCACTATGCACTTCAACCTTTTGAGTACAGTGCAAAAGATCATACTAAATGTTACAGACAGTATCTGTTCCCTCAGAACAAGAGCAAGTTAGCAGACAATACATTTTACATACCACACTCTTGAAATAAGTTCCATCCTTAAGTAAGGGCTATTTATTATATTCTCATTTACTTTAACTCTGCAAACATTTATTTAGTGATTTAAATATTCACCTGATATTAATTTAGCACCTGTTATGTGCCAAACACTCGTTAGGTTCTAGAGATTCAACAAGAAATAGCGCAGAGTCCTTGTTCCTTAGGAGCTTATATTCCAGAGGAGAGGGCAGCTATAAATAAATTAATTAAAACAATCCCAGCTATGATAAGAACTGTACAGAATAATGAACTTGGTCAGGGGCAAAGAATGATTGGATGGTGAGAAGAGAGTGTTTATGGGAAGATAAGGTGAGCAGGTGACATATGGACAGAGAGGGCAAATGGGCAGTGAGCCCTGTGAAGATGCGAGGAAGAACATTCCCGATAGAAGGAACAGCATGTGCAAAGGCCATTGCTTCATGCAAGAGACTGTGTTTGGCTCTGTGGGAATACACAAATGGGTAACCATGACTACTGCCTTCACAAATAACTTCAATGGGAGACTATTTGATGAGTGGCATAGGAATAGTACGCATTCAATACTTTGCCTTCAAGAACTAAGCTCCAGAGGTTAGGGGTAAATTATGTGCTATTCAAGTAGTACTGAACAGGAGCAATTAACTGTAACTAAAGGGATTACAGAATCATTTAGAGAGGTGGAGTAGCTGGTTTGGGAAGGAGTTGAAAAGGGGGAAATAAGTAAAGAGACCAGGAGATATGTGTATACATGACAGAGAGAGGGGAAGGGAGGGGGGCAAGAAAGGAGAGAAGAATCGGGAGAGAGAGAGAGAGGGAGGGAGGGAGAGAGAAAGAGAAAGACAGACTGATTATATATATAACTTACATCTAGGAAAACGACTCTCATAATTGGTGGTGATTGCCTATGATAAAACCAGATTTTTATCTGACAAAATTGCTCTTATTGTTGTCTCATGGAGCATCATGACATTTAGTCTTGATGAGGGCCCCAGGTGTCATTTAATGCTTCCAATAATTTCCATTTCTAGTTTCAATAAGGTTTGCAAAACTCTAGCCTGTTATCCAAATTGACTGTGCATGTAAGCACACTGGAAATCCTTGGAAATACCTAATTTCATTTTCTCACCATGAGTTAAATCATGAGAATTCAAAAATTAGAGCAAGCTCCAAAAATGAATGTAATACACTAAACAAAGACAAAGAAAACAACAGCAGGAACAACAAAGCCTTAACTATTTAGGCACCAATAGGCCTCATCTGGACACTTTAGTGGTCCTGATGTTAAGGTAAGTTTTGATATGGGGATGGGACAAACAGCCCCTGTGGTGCCCTCTTTCTTCCTCCCTGCAAACTTTTCCTACTGAAGTGCGGAGTTTCACATTAGCTCTTCTTTTGTGATAACCTTTTGTAATTACATTGGCAAAAATATTGATTTTTATTTATTATTTATTTATTTATTTTAAAAAATATTTTTATTGACTTTAGAGAAAGGAAAGGAGAGGGAGAGAGAGGGAAAAACATCAATGATGAGAGAGTTGTCATTGATCAGCTGCCTCCTACATGCCCCAGATTGGGGATCAAGCCCGCAACCCGGGCATGTACCCTGACTGGGATCGAACCGCGATCTCCTGGATCCTAGGTCAATGCTCAACCACTGAGCCACACCCGGCTAGGCAAAAATATTGATTATTAAATGAGGATTACCCAAGAACACGAGGATAATCCAAAACTGGGTGTTTTGCTTGGGATTATAAAGACATAAATTAATTTTGGGCAGTGTTATACATTTTAAAATTTGTGATTTCCAAAGGCAATGCTCAAATGAATGTTCCTTTCCCCCAAATCTGTGATCTGATGAGTGCTTTAGACAGCCAGAGTCGTGCTGGTTACAATAAGAAAATAAGTCCGAGGGCACAAGTTCAGTAATTGAGAATTGATGAAATTAGATTTTGCCTTTGAGAATGTTAATACTGTATGAATTATGAGTATGAATTAGAGAGCTTTAGATAATTATGAATAACTCTACATGGGTTAATTAGCATTTGTAAAACACTGTTAATGTTTCCAGTATTTAACTTAATTTCTAAAAAGCTTTTTTCCATCATGTTCTTTTGTGGTAATGGATTTTCAAGTTAACTGAGGTCTTCTGAGACACATTACTTTAACTCAAAGAATAACTTTAAATCTGTAAATTCAAGCCTGTTGGCAAGTCAGTGTGGGAGATATTTTATGGTAGGTGTGACTTTGTTACTTTTCAAATAACATGTATCAAATAAGTACCCAGCTAGTTCATTCACTACTATTAAACCTAGTTGATAATATGTCCATTTTCTAAAAGAGAAAAAAATATCCAATATATTGGGAGACTGTGGTTGTTGGTGCTTAACTTAATGATATACCCGTTCTCTGGTACAGCATTTCTTGCATAGGAGGTAAAGTATATTCTCAAGACTTTGCTTTCTATATAATCAGTACTTTTTTTACATGTATATTTGGATCTAGACTGATTTATAGTTATGAGTTCTGAATTTTAGTTTGTCCTTTAATCTCTCTTTAGGAAGACTTTGTATATTCTGTCTTCTTAACTAGTCTATAGTTTTTTGAGAAACTTACCTCTTTTAAGTTTTCACCTCAGCCTCTTATTTCTACACACACACACACACACACACACACACACACACGACTACAGTAAATGCCAGGTTTATAGTACATTTAATATAACAACCAGTAACTAAACAAGAAAACACTGGATATATTCCAAAATATTTCAAACTCTGGGAAATTCTAGATTGTTGTGTTTTCTTCTTGTTACCAAATTGCATTTCTATGGAATCTCATATAAATTGTATTCCAAAACCTTAAGTCAGGCACAAGAAAATCTGATTATATCCCATTCTAGCAGGGAGAGTGGGTCCCCTGAAAATTATCAGGCCTATTCTTGCCCAGACTTCCATCATCAAAAAGTCCTGGGTAGATTAAAGAAGTATAAATTGCTAGAATACAATTTCTATGAGAACATTTACTACACTGTTTTTTGCTGTTGTAGTTTTCTTAAATATCACAGTGCAAGACTATAATAGGTGTGCAACAAATATTTGTTGAATGAACACAGTTAGACCATTAAACTCTAGTTAATTACGCTTGTATGAACCAGGATAAGTATGGGTGGAGGAGTAGGGGCAGAGAAGTTTGTTTGTTTACAGCTCAGGACATCTAGTCCCAGGTTCTCCTGTCTGTTTTGAAGGGCTAGTAGGAAGTACCTGTTTTTTAAGAGGCACAGAATGACTTCAGGTAAGAAACCTTGGCCTGATGGTAGGACTCCCACTATTCCCTGTTAAAATAAGAGTAGAGAATGACAATTATATCTTTTAAACTCCAAGTTGCTATCAGTGGCCATTTATAGTGCTGTAACATTTTCTGTCTTTGAGCTGGTACGAATGGTAAAGTAGGCAATAACCCATTTGGGTTCTCCGCTCCCAACAGTACCAGGAACCATAGTTACCAAGACATAGTTAACAAGAATAACTCTTATTGGTTATAGTATCTTCTTATAAGAATTTCATTCATGTCAGCATCAGGGCAAGTATTAAACACTGCAGTTCAGTCCAGAACAGGAATAATTATACTCTTCTTTTTCTGAGCTCTTATATAATGTGGGTAATACAAAAATGAAATCTCAATCCTGAGAAGACCTTTCATTGGAACAAAAATAACAGTCACCCATAATCTCATAATTATTCCATTTGCTGTCCTATGATAGAAAATATTTTTACTTTAAGACACTAAACTAGAAACTTCATACGTTAGCCAGTAAAGAGTGTCCCCATGTTGTGCAATGTTGCTAATTTCCTAATTATATTTTCAATTATAAGCTTTCATTTTAGCAAATAAACAAACCAAGAAAAAGAAAAATTTTTAAAAGAGAAAAGATAAAAAGCCCTTTAATCTACACTCCATAAATGGGAAATATTATCTACAGTCCTAAAGATCACCATGAATATACAACTGATATATTATTCTAAAAGTTGAGAATTAATCTCCCCCTTTCTTGTTTTCTCTTAAGCTTTTGACATCATTGTTAGCTTCTGATTGTGAGATAATGAATCAGGACTTTATGAGTGACAATTTGATCATTAAGCTTCTTATTTTACTCCACTATGCATCATTTTTAACATTTGAATTTTCTTTTTTTTCTCCTTTTTTTCTTTATGGTTCCTCCAGAATGTTAAAGATTATTTTGAATGTAGCTTGAGTAAATCCTACAGTTCTAGTAACACACTTGGGATTGACCTCTGGAGAGGGAGAAGGTGTTGCTCAGGAAACTTGCAGTTGCCACCACTGTCCCAAAGACAGAGTGAAAGGACCAGGACTCCTGACGGTGACGGCATTTCCAGACCTACCACACTGCCCTTGACAACACTTCCAAGCATCGCTATTACAGCTGCAAGCCAGGAGTGGTGAGTACCCTCCAAATTAAATGTCAATTCCAAGTTTTCTTTTCCAAATACAGTACTGCAAATACAATTTCCTGTTATTAAAATAGTAGGTATCTGTGGGATAACTAAGGCTATTGACATTTTGACAATTTGTTTTCCTTTGGGTAGGAGATGAGGCCTTTTCAACAGTGGGAATATTTCCTTCCTGTTTAGATTGGAAGGAGCCTATTGAGGAAGACATGAGATATATTTTTATTAATGTCAAAGGAAAGCAAAAGAGCTGTTTAGTGTGTGTCAATATGTTTTAATTTAGTAAATCAATATTCTATCTGTTCTGGTCAAGATGGTGGCATAGGTAAGTGTAATATTCATATATTCATATCCTCTCACAACCATATCAAAATTACAACTAAACTACAGAACAACCATTATTCAGAACCACCTGAAATCTAGCCAAACTAAAGTCCTCCAACTAAGGATATGAAGAAGAAGCCACATCACGACTGGTAGGAGGGGTGGAGATGCTGAATGGGCTGGTCCCACACCCACATGTGATGATAAAAATCGGGAAGGAAATCTCAGTTTTGGAGGTATCCCTGAGGAGTGAGGGGTCCCAGCCCCACACCAGGCTCCCCAACCCAGGGTTTCAGGAAGAGAAGTCCCAGTAACTTCTGACTGTATCAAATCCAGACTCAGACATTTGGGTCATGCTTATCTACCCATCTACCGTGAATGTATTTAGCTGTGCAAAGAGAGCAATTGTATTCACCTCATAGACAGTTTGTGAGCAATAAATATGCTTGTCTCTACAAGGTACCTGGTTTAGTTAAAAGCATATATTAGGTAACCAACCAATGGTAGTTTCTCTCCTCTTGATGGTTAACCAGTAAATCCTTCTGAATACTAGAAACCATGTCTCAAGTATCAGTAGCCTCATGCTGGATGTCAGCAGTTTATAGTGAAATGGAGAAAACCTGGGGAGAAGGTGGGAGCAGGGTGGAGCAGGTCAATGGTGGACAAAAGGGGGACATATGTAATACTTTCAACAATAAAGATAAATTTTTAAAAAAGGAGAATCTAAACATAATCCAGGAAGTTTATATCATGCTGTCAATAGTCAACATCACATATTAGTAATTCATTTATAACATGTCTTTTATTTCAACTACCTGGATACTTTTTAAAGTGTGAGAGTATTCAGTTATTGACTATAATCTCTTCCATAATTTGTTTTCATTATTTTGTCTTTCTGGCTTGTATTCTGGTAATTGCTTTTGATTTCCTTTCAAGCTTGGTAATTCTCTTTTCAACTATGTCTAATTCTCTGTTAAATCTATTATGCTGGACTTTGATTATTGTAGTTTTTATTTTTAGAGTTTGCATTTATTTACTTTTCAATATGTTAAATAATTTTGTATAGTTCTCTTTTCCCTACATGTATTAGCTATTTATTGCTTCATAACAAATAATTTTAAAACCTAGCAGTTTAACAAATATTTATTATCTCAGATTTTCTGTGGATTAAGAACCCAGTTGTGGCTTAGTTAGGTACCTCTGACTGGGTCTCTCATAAGGCTGGAATCAAGTCATTGGCCAGTGTTACAATTATTTTAAGGCTTGACTAAGTGGGTGGGAAATGCTTCCAAGCTCACTCACATGGTTGCTTACTGGTTCGTGTCCTTGCTGCTTGTTGACTGGAAAAGTCAGTTTCTTGCCACATGGCCTTTCTATAGGGCTACTCATAACATGGTAGTTTATTTTTTCCAGAGTAAGGCCTGAAAGAGAGAGAGAGAGCAAGATAGCAGTCAAAGTCTTTTTACAACTTAATCTTGGAGGTGACATTTTATCACTTTTACATGTCCCATTCATTAGGTCTAGTCCATGCACAAAGAGAGGGACTGTGCAGGGCATGAATACGAGGAGGTGGGAACCAATTTAGAGGCTGCCTACCACATTGTAGATATTTTGAAGGTTTTTAAAAAATTTCAAGTATAGTGAGAATAATTATTTTATCCCTTTGCTCATTTAAATATCTAAAGGTTTTATAGGTCTGTTTCTTCTACCTGTGTTTTCTGATGGTTCTTGTTCATATTTAAGACATTTTTTTTTTATTCATACTTTTTTTTTTAATTCTCACCCGAGGATATTTTTTCCATTGCTTTTCAGAGAGGGTGGGAGAGAGAGAGAGACATTAATGTGAGAGACACACTTCGATTGGTTGTCTCCCACACTTGCCCCAATCAAGGCCAGGGATCGAGCCTGCAGCCAAAGTACATGCCCTTGACTGGAATCGAACCTGAGACCCTTCGGTCTGGAGGCCAACACTCTAACCACTGAGCAAAACCTGCTAAGGCCATGTTTAAAATTTTTGTTAAAATATAATCTACATACAGAAAGGTACATATATTTTAAGGGTATAACTTGATAAAATTTTATAAACTGAACACAATCATATAACCAGCACTCAAATCAAGAAACTGAGCTTAACTTGCACCCTAGAGGCCATTTTTATGCCTCTTTCAGTCACCACCTTCTCCTCACTTCTAATTATATTGTTATTTGGCTTATTTAAAATATTCTTAAAATTTGAGTTTTGAATTTGATAAAAGCATCTACTAAAAACAAATCTTCTTTCATATTTTCAGAGTGGATGATTCTATCCATGAGTTCTTTTCCCTTACAGAATTGGACTCTATTATTGTACTGTGTTTCATTTTTGCTCTGCTTTTCTTTAGAATCTTAATTCCATAATTTTTGGTGGTAGGATTATTATTTTTCAGGGCACAAGCAAAATACAATGGTCCATCTACAATTAATTGTATCACTGAAAATTCACCTAGTAATTATTTTAGTATTTTTAAAATTTATGGTCTTTGGTCAATCTCCATGAATTCAGATTTATCTACAATTTTCTCTTTGGACCCTAATGGAGAATGAATTCAGAAAATTCAATTTGGTGCTCCCATCTAGGCTTGGCATGAACAGTTTTAAATTAGAACTCTACTAGTGCTATGTAGGACATGAGGAGTTCAGCTGTCTTGCAGAAATTGCAAAAATATTGCATGCTAGCAAATGATATGCGGATACTTTTTTTCCTTTGGGGAATTTACCTCCAGTAACCCCACCACTTTCGTATGGTGAAGAGCCAAGGAAGTTTCCCTTTTTGCTCTGGTACAGGGAGGGGGAAAGTAACCATTGTGAAATATGCCCAGATTGTTTTCTAAAAAGTCCTACTCTTCAGGGGAAAATACTTTACCAGAGCCCCATTCCACCTAGAGGAAAGACATTTCCTCAACTTTAGCCCCTTTTGGCCTACCTTTACCTGAGGGTGGGGGGAAGCTAAAAAATGCTTGTGACATAGGTCCACTAAAAATCTGAAGTTTAATTATAAAATTATGAAATGGTTTTTCCCCCAATACCTTACCACCGCACCAACAGGGTTTCAAAATAACAAAAGCAGATTAAAACTTAAAAAGCTTCAAGAAACAGACTTTGTGTAGGAGTAGTTCCTAGGGAAGGCTAAAGAAAACGGGGGAGAGCAAAGCAAAGACAATAGAGGCATTTGAAACCTCCAGCATCCACAGCTATAGCAAACATTTAACACAGCCAAACCCTGGCCAGATTAAGATGAAACTTCACACTAATGACCTGTTTGCCTTAGTTTCTCTTATCTGATACATAATGTGGGGCTTTTAACAAGAGAATTGCAAGGCATGCTAAAAGGCAAGAATAAACACAGTCTAAAGGGAGAAACCAAGCATCAGAATCAGACCCAGATATGACACAGATGCTGGAATTATCAGAAATAGGATTTAAAATGACTGACAGACGTATGTAATAAGGGCTTTAATGCGAAAAATAAACAACAATCAAGAAGAGATGAGTAGTGTAAGCAGAGAGATGGGAACTCTAAAACAGAATCAAAAGGAAATGCTAGAAATGAAAATTGTAACAGAAATGAAAAGTGCCTTTGATGAGCTCATTAGTAGACTGGATAAGGCTGAGGAAAGAATCGCTGAGATTGAAGTTAGGTGAATAGAAACTTGCCAAACTGAAATGTAAAAGAAAATAAACCCCCCAAACCTAAAACAAACAAATGAAGGAATTCCAAGAACCATGTGACAATTTCAAAAGGTGTTAACTTATGCATATTTAAAATATCAGAAGTGAACAGACAATGGAGCAGAGGTAAATATAGAAGTAACGGCTGAGAATTTTCCAAAAATGATGACAGACACTAAATCACAGATTTAGGAAGGTTAGGGAATACCAATAAGGATAAATACCAAAATGTCAGTACCTAGACGTATCGTATTCATACTACAGGAAACCCAAAGCAAAGGTAAAAATCTTGAAAGAAGCCAAAGAATAAAAACCGTATGTAGAGAGGAGCAAAGATAAGAATTACAGCAAAGTGCTTGTTAGATACCATGAAAGCAAGAAGAGTGGAGTCAATTATTTAAAGTATTGAAAGAACCCCATACCCTCAATCCACCCGTAAGTCTATAACCAGCAAAATTATTCTTCAAAAGTGAAAGGAAAACCCCCCTTTGTTATACAAATGAAACATAAGGCAATTCATCATCTACACTCCTGCCCTGAGAGAAATTATAGTAGAAGTTTTTTGGTGAGAAGGAAAATGATACAGGGCGTAAACTTGGATCTACCTAAAGAAGAGTGTCAAAGAAGAAATAAATAAGGATAAAGTAACATTAGTTTTCGTAACTAATCTTTCTTAACTATGTAAAACATAATTGATTAAGTAATATAGTAACGACATACAATATGTGGAGAAGTGAAATGAATCACAGCATCACCGTAATGGACAGGACCGAGCATTCTGTGTAAGGGCTATTCTGTGTCAAAGCACCTGTACTACGCGGTCAGGCAGATTTAGATTAATGAATACTATACTGAAAACTAGAGAAACCACTAATTTAAAAAATATATATAATTAATATGCTAAGAGAGGAGAAAAATGGAATTATATAAAATGCTCAATTAAAACCAGAGGAGGCAGA